ATTTTAAATAAGTTTATGATATACGTTTGTAGCTAAGATTTTAAACCTCTTTTATTTCATTTCTTTAAATTACACGCCTTTGTACTACCCAAAACATGGCGGAGGGTCACGTGACTGGGTAACGCAAACATCAAAGGTTCCGACTTAACTGTCATAACTGTGTATGATTAAACTGTGGCGCCGATGTATCGAAGGGTGTCATCGATTTCTTCCTCCACCGCCGCTTCCGCGAAACGGATTCCGCGGATATCCACGCTTCATCGGTTTATAGATATCGCGCATAAATGAATTTCCGCGAGTTCCATATTTTTCTTTATTTGAAAATTTCTCAATTAAACAATTTCACGAATAGGTATTAGATGAAATTAATCGCGTGATGTAGCGATATGGTACCAAACGATCTCGAAGAAACGAATAATGATATTGACTATACGGAATTGACTTAGATAAGGAAACGCGAAGTAATGCGAAACGCGAGTAACGTCGTTTTCTTCGGCGATATGCAGAGCAACCGCGTCGAGGACGGGCGAGAACGTTAAATGTTAAAAAAATGCAGGCAAAGCGACATGTGCCTGCATCCGTTTTATTGAGACACGCGAGTCGTCGCGTGCGATCGTACGAAAGTAGAATGCGCTGCGTGTGCACTTATATGCCAGTCGTGCTCCCCCGAAGTTGTGTGTACAGCGTGGCAAATGCTAAACACCGCTAAGAATTCTACGGCGCACCGTGAGAAAGCGCATTGTTTCTAGCACAAGTGCGCACAAAGGAAATGCGAAGATCAGCGTGTACTAGCGCGTCCGACTCGCCTCACCAACGAGGCGAGAAGTCGGCTCCGGTTAAATAAACTGTGCAGTCGTCGAACGCGGCTAGAAAAAGCCATGGTCGAAGGATCGCCAATGGGCTGACAATCGTGAAAGTAAATTCGCCACTAAGAAAATCTCAGATCTCTCTCTAAAGGTCTGTTCTTTACAGCTGAGCTATTATAGCGTATCCTTATTGTTACTTAAAACGAAATAGATGTATATATTTGAAATTTAATGAAAGCGAGAAAGAAAATTTTAGTGCGGCGACAAAGAACAGATCTTCAAAATAATCGATTGACAATACAGTACTTCGACAAGCAATGCCGAATCGATCTAACGATCGTCGCCGACCAAGGGAAGTCAATGGAGAAGTGCTCCATCGTGGAGCACTGGAATATGGAACTCACCGAGTATCCAGGCTTGCGTTATCTCAATGGACCACCCTCCGCACGTGGGAACTTTCGCGGATGAATTGGAAATCTTGCGTAAGGAGGATGAGAGAGCACGCCGGGGTGACTCGAGCACGTGTCGGACGTCGGGCGTGGAAGGTGGGGACGATAAAACGCGAATGTGATCACACGCGAAAAAAATCGTAGAATAAATCCCCGCACGCGTTTCCTCTTTTTGGCGTCTTCCGATCGGCGCGTCTCCGAGGCCTTCCACCTGGAAGATCATATAACATTTTTTTCTAGGGCAGAAACGTGAAAATTTTTACCATTGAAGTTAATGGAGAAATTTTTTACCTTTCACGTTCAAAAAGTTACACGATCGATGGTATCAATACCCTGACATATATGTGCGGGACTCGCAGTCGCGCTTGACAGACTTTGTACGTCCCTGCCGTCGCTATTCGCTTCGTTGTCCCCGTGTCCAACCTGCCGTCTCCTTCACGCCTGTTCGCCCTGATTGCACTTTCTCTTTCCTTCCTCTTCTTCTTCTTCCCTCGTGCTCCGCGGCGCTCCGGCCGCCGTCAAGCCGCGGTGGAACACGCATCGTTCCGTCATGCGTATTCGGTCATTCACACACGGTATACCTGTTCCAACATTTGAAATGCACTAAGTGCGTATCTAAATATAGGAACGGGAATAGAAAAGGACGACACGGCCGCTGTGCCGGTCGTTTACTTTCGAAAGAGCGGCGCGGAATGAATAATCTCGAAAATCTCCTTTATATCCGCTCGAGAATCGGACCGATATACATTTGCGCGAGCATTTCGCAGCCGCTGGTTCTTCATTCAAAATGAATCGTTAATCATTCATGTGTATAGACAACTATTGAATTGAAGGAGTGTCGAAAGAGCTGACGTATTGCACGATGCAACAACGTCGCTGTCGTGGCACGTTAGATCGTGTTACTTGGCTGCGATCGCCCGTTCGAGCGTTTGCGATTCAAGTTCACTGAATTGGAAGCAGCCGGCGATTACTGTCGCTTTTAATGACACGTTACTATATATCGCGGAGCTGTCAATTTTTGCGATATAAACTGGGCGAGAGAAAGCAGCTGCGCGAGCTCTCTAAAGCAACAATAGATAAAAATTATACGTACATATTGCTCCTAATCCATCCGATTTCTCGATCTACATGAATTTCGACGCTTTGTCGATAAGCGGATACGCCTCCGAAATCTCCGAGAATTAATGTAGACTCTCTAATAATCAACGGGAAGCGCATTTTCATTTCTCCCCTCGCGCGCAGGGAACGCTCTCAAATAGAAATAATTCCTACCTGGAACAAACGAATATGAAATAACGCGTCGAAGGCTCGAGGGTCGAGCTCGTTAGAATCTATAATTAAGTCCGTCGTCGCGGCGGTCGCTCGATAGAGTTCCATTATTCCCGTCGAAAGGACGGCGCGGTTGCTGGAAATAGCAACGCGGGCAAGCAAGTGCGACGCGCGAATGGGACAAGTGCGGGATGAGATATGGGGGCGCACCTGGCCGAGTGCCGCCGCTGGTGCACCTCGCTGCCTGCGCACCGCAACGCGAAATTCACCTAGTGACGACGACGGTGGGCAGGCAGCAAGCAACCTGAGGCAGCGCGACCTGTCGTCGGGTCGCGTACTACTCTCAAGGAATAGCGCCGTCCTAGAAACGTGAAGAGACGCGGGCGGCGCGAGGCGCGGATCAGGCGCGACCGCCGCGACCGCCTGTGGCCAGCCTGGCCTGGCCGTCTGACGCGTAGTTCACGAACAGCTGGCCGAGAGCGATGGACGACGACGTTTCGAAGTAAGCGCGGCGCTTCGCTCCAATCGACGGTGATCGCGGATCGATGACGTTGCGGAAATCTGCTGCGCGTCGTGAACGCGTGAGAGTCTCTGCGGGATCATCGCCGTGACGTTCCCCCGATCCCGAGAGCAGATCCGTGGGCGTCCACCGTCGCGATCGATGGGGAGTCGATAGGAAGGCGCGAAATCCTTAGCCAGCCTCCGTACGGCCTATGCCGCGAATGTTTTGTTTCTCGGACACCTAACCTACTTCACGGACACGGCGCTCGGAGCGATAACGCTCGGCGTGTGCGAACGCGCTATCGCTGCCGCGATACGATGACTTCATCACTCGGCGCGGCCACTTCCTCGTTCCTTTGTCAGTATCATCCGTGACGCCCGCGTGCTCCCGCGAGCGTAATTAATCTACGACGTATAACCCCTCCGGGCGGAACGCGGCGGGGCAGTCAGCACCGTGCGATTTTGTCACGGCCACGAGAGAGGACATCTCCGGAGGAGCGCGGCACGACTCCGGTTGATCCTCTTCCATCTCACGACGCGCGACCGCGAAGATGCTCCAGCGACGGGATCGCGGCAGAAGACGTGTCCTCGCTGTGACGTACCGCGCTAGCACGCAAGATGAACTCGCTGCTGAAGATGTCCATAGTGGGCAACAAGAGGAACCTGCTGATCCGCGACTCCCTGCAGAAGCAGCTCAACACGGGCGTGATGGAGATGCAGAGCGCCCCGGGGGTCGCCGACGACGGCGTGGTCGGCAACTGCGACGAGACCATGACCCTGTGCTCCGTTCTGGAGGCGATATTTTTGCACGGCTTGAAGGACAGTCTGCTGAATCGAGTGACGGAAGCGCTCAGCGGCCCCGACTTCGACGCTATGCCACAGCCAAGCTTCTGGGGTCCGCTGTTGGTCTTTTCGCATCGTCAGATCATAGATCAGATACAGGGGTTGAGCCAAGTCACCACGGAGGTCGGGTATTGTCGCGCGTGGATACGGCTGGCGCTCAACGAGGGTCTGTTAGCTAGCTACTTTTGCGCAATAAGAAGGGACAACTCGGCCCTGAAGCCGTACTACAATCGTTCAGCCTACATCAGGGACGTGGATCTTGTCGAGGTCGCGCAGAGATTAATAGAAAACCTGGATTATGTGCGATTCGAGCTGGCCTGCAACAGTAGCCTCTTGAACTTTTGGTCCACCACGCCTCTGCTCATAGCCGGCATCTGGTCCCCGCCGATGAAATCCTGTCCCGTGTTTAGCGCCGTAGACATAGCGAAAACGATAAACAGCGAGTCGTCCGACAATTTCGACGAGGTAGAAACTGCAAGTTCCATCGGTAGCTCTATCGGCATAGGATCCTTCACCTCCTCGCAGTCTGTGTTTAATAATGTGACATCTATCACGGAGGACGAGGCGCTGAAAATTATTCTGGCTAAGGAAAAATCTAATAGCGTTATTCAACAATTATCGCACAATAATCCCGCGGACACGCAAGAGAACAATGCCGCTCGGCAGTCGTACGGTAATTCTGCGGATGCTGCAATAAAGAATCCAGACGAGCCAGAGGTCACGGAGGTACAACGTATGTCAAATGGCAATGCAGAAAATAAGAGTAATGTTGCTGCTGATACGGAGGACCCGCTGCAAGATGCTGTGAAAGACATCATCAACGACGCCACCGCGACCACTGTGGGAAATTCATTGATAGGGAAGTTGGGATGGTCAACGTCGTTCGAGGATTGTCAATCTTCCTTAACTTCCCCGGTGGTATCCCACGGTTCGGGCGCGGATGCGCCACGCACGCCCGGCGACGGTCCTACGTACGACGCGCTCATTCAGAGTTACCAAACCGCCGGGAATAGCACGGTGTCGGATCTGCAAGAATTTCTAAAGAAATATCCAAAGAGAGAGACCGTTGAGGAGGGGTCTAAGGCTCAGCCTGAACCAAAGGTATGTTTCTAGCGCAAAATGCACGTAATGATAATTTTTAAACGCAATTACATTTCATATGATTCAACGATTCAATTCTCACGTTCCAGGCTGTGGTAAATTTCGACGAGCAGTTAGGTAGGATCCCGAGGGAAAAGGGTCTGGACGTGCAAAATTACAGTTGCTTCGATTGCAGTTACGCGATCGGCATGACCTTTTCCAAGGCGCACGTGTGCGCGTACTCGGGCGATTACTACTGTTCGAAGTGCATGGCGGAGGGTCAGTATCTCATACCGTCGCGTATGATTCACAACTGGGACTTGAGGCAGTACTCCGTCAGTCGAAAAGCCGCTTCGTATCTGGAAGGCGAGCCGGTCCTGATGGACCTGAAGGTCTTGAATCCGAGGATTTACATGGCCGTGGACACTATGGCGCAACTGCAGTCGTTGAGGATTCAGTTGAATCTGTTGAGAGCATATCTATTCACGTGTCGCGAGCCCATTATCGAATCCCTGCAGAAGAAGGTCACGCCGAGGGATTACTTGTACGAGCATGTTCACCAATATTCCGTTTCCGATCTTCTCGACATACCCAATGGGATTCTCGCGCAGCAACTCCAAAAGGTTGTTGAATTCGCGAAGAATCACGTAATAAATTGTTGGCTCTGTAGTCAGAAAGGCTTTATATGTGAGGTCTGCAACGATACGAAAGTCATTTATCCTTTTGACATGGAGTCTACATTCCGGGTAAGCGCAACATTATTATCGTTCTCCGTTATCTATTTCTTCTTTGTTTACTACTCAATTTTACAACAAGCAATTTATTTATTCGTTTACAGTGTGGGGCGTGTAACGCGGTATTTCACGCGAACTGCTTAAACGCCAGTAAACCGTGCCCGAAGTGCGAACGCAGACGTAAACGGATGGATATGCCTCTTTTGGATATGGGATGTACAGATCTACCAAACAGCAGTGTGTCGTCGTCTCCGATTGATATGAATTAGTGTATAATTCGTTGATTTGTTAATATTTTTTGACAATATTTTATCATGTTTTTTATTTATGCAGTATTGTTTGCAATCCGAAAAAGATTAGTTTTGCTACGCGATAAGTCGCGATATATTCAATCTTGTAATTCGCGAATCTCGATTTTCGCATGTAAATATTTGTATCATGCTGCGCGTAAAGATGTATGGAAATGTAACATATTTTTTGTCAGTGCTTGGAACGATAATATTGTTACAAACTTATATATTCTGATATGATTAAAGAAATATTTGTACCTTACGAGACTGGCAGCTTTCCATACAAAAACACATATTACATAATAGAGACATTTATTATAATTCTATGTACAAAAGTAGTAAAATATATGAAATCATTTATTGACCATCTTATCGCTATTTATTATATTTAATACTGTTGCTCTATTTATGTAATTTAATAAATTGACATGCTTTATAAGATTGAATTTAATTGATACGTCTGTACCTTGTGTGGCACATTGAAAACATATTTTGAATATACAAAAATTTTACGTTCATACAATATTGCAACTAACAAATGATTTCTCTTTCTTTTTCTCCAGTAATTTTTATAATAGATATACAATATATAAATCATATGTGTATAAATATAATAGAATTTTTCTAATCTATTCTGTGAGGCACATTCTATTATCTGTGTTAAATGGCCTTACTTCATTTGTTATGGTCCTAAGTTGTAAAATTAGAGAGCTATCTATATGTATATATATTTTTTCTTTTCACATTTTCATTTATATATAAAAATATTTATACAGTTATTACATAAAATCCACAAAGATAAAATTATTTTCCAGGTACCTATGTGATTAATATGCTTTAAATGTAATAATTACGAATCTAACAACTAATGAAAATATTAATTAGTGGTGAAAGTATTAATGAACAATTGCATGATAGTTAAATCGTGGTTGTGATAAATTGGTAAATTGTGCAATGTTAATCTTAAAATTACTCTCTTTCGAATTTGTTGGTTATAAAAAATACATTTTCTTTGTATTGTACAGTATTTGGCATACGTCTTTAAAATTTGCAACCACATTAAAAACATTTTAATTTAGAATTATTGAAAAAAAAAACTGTTTCAACATAGTTAAGATTATAAATTGCATTCTTGATTTAATACGCATATATTATATATTATAGTTTCACTATAAATATCAATTTCACTGGAGTGTACTTTGTCAAGTAGTATTTATATATATTAAAAGTAGTCTTTATTATAAAATTATACTAATAACATTGAAACTAATTTAGAGTTAATACAAAAGTATACTGTAATGAATGGAATTTTCTTACCAATATATACGTATTTCATATCGTAGTGAACGAGATCGGAGTATGTTAGTATGATATATACAAATAATTATAAATTATTATTAATCCTACATTGATGGACGATGATTACATTGACGAATAGCCGAATATCAATTTTATAATTCATATAAAAAGGTGCCAACGTGTAGGATTAAAAATAGTCTAAAAAATTTTTATCTGGTAAAAAGTGTCTTGTAAATAATACTAATCATTCTTACAAATATTTGTACTATCTCCGAGACGGCAAACTTGAAATATCGTCACGTCAATGACAACATTGCAGTTTTGTCGTTCCTACGTTTTTTTGATTCTTAAAATATTCTGACACGAGTTTAACTCACCAATTTCTATACTGATAATTCCTCCCGAGCGTAGATTGTGATTAATGCAAGGTCTTGGGAAAATATGCCGAGGGTAAAATAGGTTTGTCTGACAAACCTGCTCGTCTCAATCCGCCCTGCAAGCCGACGCTCGCGGTCTTCGCTTTCGTACCGTTCGAGATCACCGCCGGACCATTGTTATTCTCGATTATCGCCGGCGCCGAGGCCGAGGCGGCTGGATTTCCCGATATCTTGTTCAGCGAGTTGAAACGCTCCATAGGCGTGCTGGTGCTCGAGATCAGGGCGCTCTTATTGAAGGTGGTCAATCCTACCGAACTCTCCGTCACGCCGACACCCATCGACCGAGCTGTCGTGCGGGTGGTCTGATTGATGTTCGGATTTTGCACGATCGGATTCTTCATCGGTAAGCCCGACAATGCACTGGGCTGTATCGTGCTGGGCGCAGGCGTGCGTGTCTCGTATCGGTTGGGAAATAATTTATTTGTCCTGGGTAACGTCAGTGGAACGGAGGACGATATCGTGACTGGGGCTGGAGTGGTGGCGCTCTGTAACGGCGACTGATTGTCCGCCAATCTCCGATTCAGCCAACTAATTACTGCAAGAGAAAGATAAAAACATCGTATTGATTTTCATAGACATTTTTATTAACAAAAATAATGTAAACTGAGCTACAGGCTTACCATTATCGTTATTCTTTATGATCTTTTCTTTTTCCTCCAATTGATGTTGCAACGTTTTTATCTGTTCTTTCAGATTGTCCACTTCATTTTTAGCATCTTTCGCATCTTTGACAACACTCTCCATTTTGGTCTCCAATTGGCCGATTTCCTTCTGCTTGCTGTCCAACAATCGTTCCTGTTCGAGCGCTATGCTCGTCCTTAATTTTAATTTGGACTTGGTCGATGCAAGCTCATTTTGCAATTTAGTTATGATCTCATTGGCTTTTACTAACTCGTCACTTAAGCTCCTCAAGGAATTTTGCTTGCGTTGCAACTGGCTGTCTCTCTCCTTTAAGAGATCCTCTAAATGCTGCTTTTGTTCCTTACTCGAATTCAGCGTTTCCATGTGCTTGTTAATAAACACCGTTTTATCTTTTAATTCCTGTTCAAGCACAGCTACCTTTGTACGCAAGCTGTTAACAGCTTGATCTCTGTCATGGTAATCAATATCTAATTTCGAATTTTGCTTCTTGAGTAGTGCCACATCTCGCTCGGCGATATTAAGTTCTTTCTCGAGATTCTGCAACTGTTTCACTTGCTCTGTGTTTGTAGCTTCTAAAAAGGATTGTTTATCCTTATACGTCATGTTCTGCGTTCGTATTTCGGCAAGTTCCGTGTGCAATTGTTTCACGGTTTCGGCGTGCCTCTGTTCAATTTCCATCTTTTCTTTTTCACTTTGCCGTTGCCATTCTAGTCGTGCTTGTGATAATCTAAAAATATTAGTACAATCAATTAGTATAATCATTAATATTTTTCAAATACTTTGATTGATTTCAAGCAAATACAAAATATGTCTCATTACAATATTATATTATTATTATAAAGATTCAATTTAGCTAAATAAAATCAATATTATTCATGCTTTTAATTTAATAATACATCTTATAAACATACCTGTCTTTCTCTATGCTAATTTGCTGCGATGAATTAAATTGTATCTGGTTCTTCTCAGTCAGATACTTTTGCTCCAATTGTTCCAATTCTCTTGTTTTTGTCTCCAGCTTGCCCGTCAAATCGTTTAATCTAGTTTCCAAACCGATCGCATCCCTACTCTGCTGCGAAACGCTTTCCTTCAGCTGCTTAATCTTCATCGCCATGTGTGTCTTCAGATCCGAATCACTTGCAGGTGATATATTTAAACTCAGGTGGCAGAGATGCTTGAAATTATTCGTCTCTACGAGCTTGAAGTTCCATTCCCCAGACTCCTCCGCCAACAGTAGGAGAAACTTTGGAGGTGTCTTTGACAGTTGACTCGTTCCCGGAACGTGACATTGCTCCAACAGGCATATCAACTGAGTGGCGAAGTTATCGAAATCAACTAGCAGTCCCTGCTGCGCTTTCAGCACCTTAAAGTCATCCTCGGTGATGAACAGGGAATAGAGAAAACACGAATCGTCGTCGTCAGCCAGCAAAACGCACAAACTCTGCAACAAGAGGTACACGAAAAAATGTAATTCACAATACAAGGACAGGTAAGTACAGGATATTAAAAACGAAAAGAGCTATCGGTTTCCACGGACGTTCGTCGAAGAGAGGAGCGCAAGTCAACGTCAAGTCAAGTGACACTTGGTCTCTCAAAGCCTTTGAAGGGGGGGCGAAAAGTTTACCTTGCGGCAAACCGGGCTGATGCCAGCGTGAATCTCGACGTTGACACGGAGATCCCGCTGGCGCTCCTCCTTATGCTGCGGCTTGACGTAGATCCTCTGCACCCTGGTGTAGAGGATCTCGACGTTGTTTAGCTGCAGGCCCGAGTCGGCGGTGGTCGTGCCGCCTGCTATACTGTTGAGATAGTTCATCGTTCGTTCGCGCACTCGGCAAGCACTCGTCGTTGACCCCGCGTCGCTCGCCGCGTCTCATTTGATCGGCACGTCGCGGGGAAACGTCCGGCCGAAACGCGCCCGAAAACCGAATACGATATTCTCACGTAGCCGCTTCCCTCGCTCGTCACGGGCTCACATTGCGCGACACGCAAAATAAACGCACGCGTATGAGAGACGCGTATATACGGCGCTTGGTGCCGCCATCTTGACGGCACGCGTCACTACTAACTTCACTACGGACACGGGCTTAGTGGTAGTCGACGCCGCGAGAACGCTTCGTCTTTTTTTTTCTCTCTTCCACGCTCGCGGGACAGATTTCCCCTCTTGGGCGTTTCACGGGCGCAACGATTCGATTACGAGGCTTCGCAAGCCGAGCGGGTTATGCGAGACACGAAAAGACATTGCGAAGGTATCCAGATTCATCCTCCTACCTAAATTTATTTCTGCAATAGACGCTCTAACGCCGCCATGGCGCCCAGCATTTTTAGATTTGCATTTGAATACATTGTTATTTCGAATGAGCATTCGTCGTGTGAAATCAAGATCCCGTATTGATAATGTAGTTATACATGTAATATTCTGAAACGGAGACCTCGTATCGCGATAATCTTGTTTAGAATCGCAGACATTGAATGATTAAGTATTGGCTATGTTTTCGGCGCTATGGATTAACAATCGAAACCGACTTGAAAAATCGCTCTACGCGTCTCTTGGAAACGCTTTACCCTTTTACTGAATTCATGAAATTTCATCAGATTGTCTGGCTATAATGGAGCAACAATTTAAATTCGAACGCGATTTTCTCTTATTTCGAGTCAATTAAAGCACAGCTGGTGCGGTAGATCAAATACAGTATGTAGATTTGTTGACGGAGGGAGAGTCGCGTAAGACGCGACATCCCGAAAAGGAGGGCGACCGCTGTCTTTAGTCGAGTTTCAAGTATCGGCGCCGGCAGTCGATAAACGACCGGTTGAAGAATTGCGGGCCTGCTATTCGCTCGTTGAGTTTCGGCGCGCGACGGTTTTGCCTTCCCGCGCGTTTCCGCGAGGGCGCGTCCGATTGGCCGGCGGCCGCCGCGCCGGCCAATGAGCGTCCCGGCCGCGATGGTGACGTAGCGTTTAAAGCGCCGTACGCGCTGAGTTGCGCCCGCGGTCGCCATGCCATGCGAGCCGTCCCGCCGCGATTGACAGGCTCGGTTTACGCGGCCGCGCGCATCCCCGCCGTATCGGTCGTACGGGGATAAAACGGTCGGCGGTCGTCTGTGACAAACGGGCGTCGCGACGTCGCGGTGTGTCGCGGGACTGCGCGCACGCGCGCGCGCGCGTGTGTGCTGTTGCTCCGAGTTGTGTATTCGCGCGAGACGTGTGTATTCGCCGTGAATCTTCTTCGGGCGAGAAACGGACGGAGGAGCCCGCTCCCGCGTCCCGACGACGGTTGGCGGTTGGACGGTCGGCGGCTGCGGTCCGAACATGACGTCGGTGGAGCAACACGCCGGTGGAGGACACGTGAGTACAGTGCCACTTGTCAATTTCGCGTCGTTTTACGGCTCCCGATCCGGCGGCCGTTTCGTTCTCGCGACCTGATCGTCGCTGGAAATGCAGAAATTTGCCAATTTCCGAATTAAGCCGCGTGTTCCGCAACACGTCGGCCGGTGGTGCTCGCAGCGCCTTTTCGGCCTCTCCGTCTCGGAGTCGCCACGCGGCACGTGCCGCCATCTGCCGGCGGCTCCGGGCAGTTGCGAGCTAGATTTTATTTGCTCCTTCAGCTCATTCGCGATCGCGGCTGCACACGGGGCACGTTATGATTGCCATTTTGCTGACTGGACGAGGTGCGAGGTATTTTTCACTTTTCTCTTTCGAATCGATACAGTTTACGTAATGAATTTAATTAATTTAATTAATCGGCATACAGATATTACGCTTGTAAGCACATATTTATCGTGTTACGCGGTAATGAATCGAAAGATTATCTTAATCAGAATGTACACTTTTTTTTGCGATATCTTTTCTCACGGTTATCGCGAATCAATAAGGATCGTATATGTGTCACAATATGACCGCGCACATAAGATTGGATCGCTAAGAGGAAAGGGATGTAATCATGGCCTCGTGCTTGTTGCACGCACGTCCGCGTTATCGTCGCGTTTCCACGAAGTAAAGAGGAAGAAAGGGGCAAAGAAACGGCGACGAAGCCGCGAAGTCGTATCGCTCGACGACTCGCTGGAGGCGAGTTTCATAAAAGGCAGCTGTGTACGTCGGGCGGCTGAATGCCGCCAATATCGAACAGAGGCGGAAGCCGATATCGCGGCTTCCAAAGGGGAAGCAATAAAAGGCGACGAGCATATTACAATCGGACGTATATTCGTAACTATCACTTTCCTACGCAAGCCGCCTTTCGCATAGGCGGCCAAGGGGTCAGTGCACTTTAGAATCTTACCGTCGTCGCCGTCGTCGTCGTCGTCATCGTCGCGAACGCGAACGCGAACGCCGCGCTGACCCCGCGCATGCGTGCATCTGGCGTGCAATATTTTTCGCGAGCTCATAGGAAACCCCCGCGCGCGTGTTACGCGAAAATAGACGTAATCGTTCTCTCGCTTCTGCGATCTCGCGTTCGCCCCGAGTCGAATCGCGCACATCAGCTCCGGGACTCCCGTAAATCGTCGAGCGTACGAAACTGGTGTATGTATACCTCGGCGCGTCCGACGCTTTCGGAGGAAATTCGACATTCTCCGCGTGTGTCCCTGTTTCCGTTAATAAATTATTTCTAGTTACACTAGCTAGTGTACTCTTTAAAAAAAGAGAGAGAGAGAGACGTATTCGCTGTGCCTTATTACAGAAAGCGGTCTCACGGTTCTGCCAGCGCTCTCTAATTCATAAGTTGATTGCAATTTTCTTTTTCTCCTCCTCTTTCGTCGCGTGACTACCGTCCGTACCTTTCCGATATGCGCATGCACGTAATAACCGCTGGAAAAGAGTGATGCCGATCTAAAGCATATCCGATGAAGTATCTCTCTCTCTCTATAAACTTTATCTATCTGTTACACACATATGTTCCGATAAGAGGCGCGGAGATAAGGAACTTTAGATTTAATCGACTTCTCCTCTTTTCGCTTTGAGATGATTTAATATACATATAGAATGATTTCCCCGCGTTCGCGTAGAGAGGCGCAAAAGGAACTCCGCTCGACGGAGAGTCGGCGCTCGTCCCTTTTTTCGCGGTCGTGCGAGTCGTGACGATAACCTCCCGCGGATCTCGCGAGGGGAAGGGCAACCGCAAAAGTGGAGCCTAAGACTCTCGGTTATGAAGCCGTGACTCATCCGCGCCCGCTAGCGCGATAATGGGGCCGCTTATTCCGCGTTTCGCAAATCCGCGCATCTCGAATGCGCCTAGCTCCGTTACGCGCGCGCGTTCACGAAAGCCTTTGTTCGCCGCGCGCGTTCCCTCCTCCGTCCCCGCCCCCTTCCCCGTGCTCGTAAAAACCGTCCTTTTCTCCCCCGCCGCGCCGCTACCTCTCGTCGGATTTACGAGTAGCCGCGGCATTCGGACCGGAAAAATTGGATCCCGCTCCCTCTCTCCCTGCCTGCCTCTCGACCGGGATCCGACCGGTGCGAGATTTTCCTTCGAGATTCACCCCCGCGCGCTCTCCATACGCGCGCTTTCATTCCTCTCCTCGTCGGGGGCTGCAGCCTCCTCGAAAGCCGCTTTGGGTCCCTGCAACCACCTGTCTCGCTCACAAAGGGCAGCGAGGAAGGCGAGCCAACAGGTTTTAGCCGACACACCTGATCGGAGCCGAGGAGTGTATACACGCCGTATATATACCTTTCCTGGCTCCGTCGTGGATGGAGATGGACGCAGTTTCTTCTTATACTTCTTTTCCACGTAATATCTCCTGTTACCTCCAGACTCGTAATCGGCCCGGATCCATCGCGATCCTCGGAATTGGTTAATGTTGCATCGACGCGCGGACGAGATGATATTTCGCCAGTTGTATAAGATGCTCAGAGACAACGAAAGAGAAAGAGAGAGAGAGAGAGAGAGAGAGAGAGAGAAATTCGTTCTCTTCGGCGTGCGTAAAGGTGCGCCTATATATTAGATTCGAAACCTCGTGTGAAATCAAGCATAATTTTTTCGATTGGGAGCTCGGTTTTCTAGAAACAAGAGGAAAGCGGAGAAAGTGCAGTTATTATGCGCGATGTCTACGAATAGATTACGCATTGTCTACGTATAGATTACGCACATCGGCGTGCAGTCGCGTGTAGTCGTCTACACGCGAAAAATCGTGCGGAGTGTTATTCGACGTTCGACGCAACTCGCGCGAGCTATCGATCGTGAGCACCACTGCTGCGTCGCTGGCTGGCGCTTTAAAGAGATATGCCCATATCGCTCGCGTCGCCTTAAAGCGACCCACGAGAGAGAGAAGAGAGAGGACCGGAGGGCTCCGAAGGAGCGTTATTTGGATGGTCTACAGCTTGGTGAGAGACCTGGCAACTACGCGTTCTCTCTTTCTCTCTCTCTCCCTCTCCTCTCTCCTCTCGTTCTCTTTCAAATGCGAACACGAGAGACCAAGCCATCATAAAATTGCCGATTGGCTTCGAGGTCATCGGCGGGAGGAATCGGCCTCCATCATGTTGCTTTTTTTCCACTCATCATGGATTTGTCGAAAACTATTCGTCGAAGAGTCGCGTCGTTGCGTCGCCGAGATTCCTACGTCATTTTCACGTCAGGAGGGGATAATTTCAACGTGCGTGATCCATACAAAAAAAAAACAATAAGAGGATCGGTTTCGGTCAGAATCGACGATCCGTAACTCATATATAAAAACAAAGCTAGATTTTTCTGCTTTCTAATTCTTTTTTATTCAGCCGCGATCTCACATTGCGCTAACATTCAACGGTAAAATTTTTACTTTGAACGTTAAACTTTGCGATCGTATACTTTAAGAGTACGAATCTGCGTTAAAGGATTCTTCACGAAAGTTTAAGATGCGAAAAATGTAAACGGCTCACGTAACTGTAATTGTAATCGTGAGCTGTGCTAGCGGTTTTGCCAATCTATCTATGCTCGCTGATGCCACGACGAATGGCGTTCCAGTTTCGTGCGTTCATTTTGTTTAAACGTCTTGTATGCACTCGCCTTTGCGGCGTGCAATTTCGTATAAGGTGATCTAATCTCCAAAGGAAATTCCAGACCGCATCGCGTGAGAGGTAGGGAGGGCGATATGATATCCATCAGCCGGGCGTTCTTCTTCTCCTTTGTCTTTCTTAGAAGTGCCAGAAACTTGATAATTTCGTCTGCGACGAACGTGTGTATCAGAAATCTGCGTATTAGTCGTTAATTCTTTCGTGTGTTTACCGCACAGTGATAGACTGATAGCACTCGTAATTCTTTTAGGTCCGGTTCCACAAATGTAAAATTAACTTTAAACTTACTGTTTATCTCTTTTCTAATTCCTAGATTAGAAAAAGATAAAGCAAATTGAACTTCGGTTAAATCGAGTTAACCGTGAATTGTGAAACCGGGCCTTAAATCAAAATTCAATTTGTTATAATTAATGGCCAAAGACGAGCAATTCAAGGTGTTAAAATTTTTTTTTATTCTTCAATTTTCTAACATAAAAGGTAACGAAACTACGTTGCGATACTTACCTACTTGAACCTTTCTCAATCGTATAATAGAAAGGTCCAAGTAAGGATCGAAACTAGTTTCGTTATGTTTTATGTTAGAAAATTGAAGAATAAAAAAATTTTTAATACCTTGAATTACTCGTTTTTGACCGTTGATTATCATTACTTGTTGTATTACAATAACGGGCGGGTTATAATTTATTTTAAAATTCAATTTTTTCATGTCCAATCGACGTATATATCCGCACTATTTCGCGTCATTCCGTCATTCGGAAAAACCGTTTCTCACCGGCACGAAAGACGTATCGATCGATGATCTAACTCAATGAAATTACACCGGCGTTAATTACGCATGCGACGCGCACCTGCCGGAAAAAAAGCCGAGTCCCCCCATTGTCTCCCGGGAGCGTCATTTTTGCGAAACTTCCTGCCATATTGTCCGCAAGGGGAGAAAGAGAGAGCACGTTTGTTTACGTGTTTAAACATTATCACGCAATCGAATCGTAACGGGAGGGTGGAAGGAGCCTTCTGATTGGTTGGCCTTACGACGCAGTCACAAATTTATGCGTGGGATGAAAGGAACCGATTCGGGAACACACCCGGACGTGTTCCGGTATGTTTCGCGTGTTATTATACCCGGTGTGGGTTGGGCACACGCGTCTGTATTTTTCCACGTCTCTATCCAACACATATACGAACGTGTCTACACGACTTTACGAAACTCGCGGAATTTTATCGGCGGAATTTTTTTCATGAGAAACGCGCGACGCTAATTTCGCGGAGAGGTGTGTGTGTGTGCGTGATGACGCTACACTCTACGCCCGCACTCGTCTATCCGCGCGGGATAGACGCTGAACTGTCGTTTTTTCGCGGATAAATCA